CCGTCCCAGCTCCATGCCGTTTCCTCAGGTCCTGTCGCTGTCCCCAGAGAGCAGAGCTCAGCGCCTGCCCCTCCGCTCCCCTCGTGAGGGAGCTGCAGGCCACCATGAGGCCTCCCCTCAGCCTGCCCTGCTCTGGGCTGAACAAACCAAGGGACCCTAGCTGCACCTTATAGGTCTTGCCCTTTAGACCATTCACCATCTTTGTTGCCCTCCATTGGATACTCTCTAATAGTTTTAAAGTGATGGCACTCATTTCAGTCTCTCTACTCAATCTATCTGTCAATTTTTATGAATTTTTCAGTAAGCCAATATAATTCTCTCAACCATCCTGTCAGATTTGGTTACAATTGACTAATGGGTTCCAAAGTCGTTGTGGGACCACCTGACAGATGGATAGAAAAGGCAATCTCATGAGCTGCATTTCTGTAGGAAATAAGGCTCAAACCACTGATGATTTTTTTCAGCAGCAAACAGTAAGTATTTATGTCTTCCTGATCCTTGTCTGTACAAAACAGGATCTATATTCATTCCTTCAAATTTTTCAGACCTGTAGTGTATGGTTCTGAGTATATAATATAACTGAAGGCTTAAATTCTACCTTAGGGCTGTGAATCAATTTTTGTATCATTTATGTACAGCTTGGGAATAGCATGGAACAGACTACCAAGGGGAAGCTTCCCGGATAACAAAGGAGAATATGACTGCCCCCTTTCGTAGTGTGAGGTATCCTAATGCGCAGCAAATCACATCTTTCTCCTGATTTGTCAGGGTGAAAATGTGGCTTTATGTATTCTTGAGCTTCCCACACCACTGCTCAAATTTTGAGGTGCCATTTGAGGTATTGTTCATGTAAGAGCAGTGAAGATGTTGACAAGCATTCAAGAACAGAAAGAGATTTTTCCCCTCCCAGCCAGTCTGTGTAGCATCTAAGAGAATATGTATTCTGATCAGCATATATGCCAATATCTTTTAGTAAGGAATAATTGAAAAATATGAAAAATTATCCAGTGGAGCACCATTATATTACAAATGTGGTCTGGAGTGGGGTCTCCAGAGTTTTATGGCAAGGATGAAGAATGTTTCTCATTTTAAGCACTCACAAGAACTTTTGGATGTATTTGATGGGCCACACAGTATTAACGTACCTGTAATATTTTCTCTGTCTCTGTTCCACAGGGTTCTCCATCACTCATACACAATTTACTATACCATCTCATGCAGTGTTTAATGCCCAGCTATTTCATAGTGCACATTGCTAAGACTCAAGTCAACACTTTACATGGCTAGGTGTTTCTCTAGTCCTCCATATTGCACAGCACTATGCTGTGTATTACATCCAATATACATATTATTTCTCATTATTAGCAACGCAACACTACAAAGCACTTGCCTGATAAAGGCATGTCAAGGCTGAATGGCTTACCCCTGGTTCTGCCTTCACACCAATTTCATTTAGACTGCAAAGCAGAGTCCACAGCATTCTTCTGTTTCAAGACCTGTTTGGAAGACAGAGAATGCAGACATATGAGGCATTTATTGCCATATTCTGCTCTTATTTTGGGGCAAAGTATGGCACAATTATTATGTCCTAATAATGAGTCAACCACTAATTAACTTGGAATTATGTTTGCATTCTGAAAGTATACACAAGTACCTTTATGCTTTCATTCTTCTGATTAAAAAGTGAAATATATGGAAAACATTCTCTGATATTTACTTAACTTCAGGGCCCTTCAAAAAAAAAATCCACCTTTGATCATTAAACTTTGCTGGCTTAATATTTCTATGAAGTACAGTTTTATGTATTTTTTTCTGAGTTTTATTTCAGGGCAGCTATCTTTGCAAGATAATCTTATGATGGACAGAACTGGTATTTTCTTGGTTATCAAACCCTCTAATTGTGGACATTTTTGAACTTAGAAAGCACTCTGAATTGGTGAGCTTAACATGAACTTTTGGCAAGGCTTTTTCATAGTTTGGCACCTTGGTGCACATCTTAGGTGTGCTGTTCTGATCATACTCCCAGATCTTCTTCTGAACTTCTTTTTACTTGTAGTACACATATAGAAAGTTTCCTTGTTAATGTCTACATCCACTAGTTTGAGGTATTTTACATGCTTATAGTGTAAGGTAAATCTTACAGTAAATGCCATACTATTCATTGGTGCCTGTGATCTCTCTGAATGTAAAACTGAATTAAATACTTTCATGTAGTCCGGCCAAACTACATTAGACTCCTTCTGTTAGTTAACATTATTCATAGACTTTTCAGGCAAAAGTTGATCCTTTTTTCCCCTATTGTGTTGGGTTTTTGTTGTTTTGTGTTTCTTTGTTTTGTTGTTTTTTTTTGGTTGGTTGGTTGGTTGGTTGGTTGGTTGGTTTTGATATTATACTTCTGCCATCTACCCAGTGAAATATCAGTGATTATAGTCAGGTGATAAAGTCAGTTTTAGCAGTTTCCAATTGACTTGGAAAAATGAAACCTTTTGAGGACTCTCCATCTTTCTTTCATTTCTTAGTAGTAATAGTATTGCTTTGCTTTCAAGGTTTTGCTGTTTGTCTTTGACTATCTTTTCCTCCTGTCACTATCCTCAATGTCTGCATGGCCTTTCTCAATTTTGTCTGTACTATAATTCTTCAAGAGGAGCAGTCCATTTTATGTTTATAAAGCTCTGAAGCACTGAAACTCTGCTTCTGATTGGAATATTCAGGCACTACTTAATTGCAGATGAAAAATAATACCCATTTAAGATCTTTTGCATTAGGTTATTTCATAAGGGAATTGTACTGATATCAGCTTTGTCATCATCAGCTAAATGATGAAGTGTGCACAGATAGGTCTTTTGAGGAGGGGTGCAAAGCTGTAGAAATGACAGGTCTTTCTCTGATCCTCTAATCAAATTACTTCTAACTAAAGTCTCGTTGGCACCTTAGAATAATTTTGATCTGCTTTCTAATTGCAAATGGCTCTGAGATTGTCCTGTATGTTCATCTTATCCTGATTACAAACCTACCCCAGAACTAACAATTACTCTTGAGTTCTCAGCCATTTTGCCTCTAGCTCCCTCATTTGCTTAATTGGCTCATGGAAAATGTTTAACTTGCATCCAGCAAGAGAGGCAGCTCCTCTGTGCACACTAGGTATTTCCTTTACAGTCAGTGCTCATCAAAACTAGTCAGCAAATACTTGCCTGAACCCAATATCTTTTGGGTTTGTGCTAGCTTTTAATTATGATTTTGTCCTTACATGGCTGAGTTGTGCATGGTGGGAGCAGAGGAAGTTTTTCTTACAATGTAGTAGGGTTTCGCTGTTTCTGCTGAAGTCATGTATCAGGCTCTGACTATGTTCCTTGCTTTCTGTGGGGGTGCAGTTTCAGCAGTCCAGAGTCTCTAAACCCTTTTGGCAACTGGAAAGTGTGATACTGGGGCTGAGATAGACTGGTGGGACAAGTGTTAATACAGAAATGGTAAATTCTGGAAAGATCTTTCTGCTCTGTGTTTTTAAATGCATTCCATACCTATCATATTAGGGTTTATTCATTATTTGCAGTGTTTAGTATCCCAGGCAGCAGCAGACTAATACTAATAAGAGACAACAGAAATCCAAGCCAGGATGCTAGAAATGTAATCATCCTTGAAACAGATGTAGAGACTTCCATCTCTACAGTAGGCACAAAGTAACATTATAATTAAAGGTTGGTATACCAGCATCAGGCAGTCATTTTCTGCCATGGCCTACAAGTATCAAAATCGTCCTGCATAACATATATACAAGTCATATATCTTACACAGGTAGTCATGCAAATTATATCCAAATCAAGCAGCTACTCTAGCACAAGTAGTATTTATGGGGTAGAAAGACATGAAGTATGCTTAATGTTAACATGTAAGGACTTGTGCAGGGCTAACAAGGAGGTATATACAGAGCAGTGGTTGAGCAAGAGGCATTAAGTATGGATGCTGGAGCTTGCCAGAAGTCACTGATACTACTAAAGAGCTTAGAAATAAGACGCTTAAATTAGGATCATTAGGCAAGGATTGGGAGTTCAGAACAAGGGGCACAAGGGAAGAGTTTGTCACTTAGCAGTGTCTGACGCCCTCCTCTGTCTTGGTTCTTAACCTGTGGGTCTCTTGGATTTTGGTATATGTTGGGTTCTGATTTTTAGCTGTGAAACAGAGAGCAGGGATAGAGGAACTACAGCAAGGCCGATGTGTCTTGTGTGGCTCTCATAGAGATGAAAAGAATACTTTTTTCTTTGTGCCAAAAACACTAGCTGCTCTTCATATAAAATCTTCAGATTGCATGGTAAGTTTTAGTCATCCTACAAGAGCAAGGCAGGAACCTGGCAATATATCCAGATTCTTATGTTCATATGGCATGAACACCATATAGGAAGTCCAGCTATATCCTCCTACAAATATATCAGTACAAGGAAATTCAAAGCATACATGCTGGCAAAATAAAGCACTTTCCAAAAGTGTTAGGATTTCCTAGACTGTCTACTTTAAGGTGAAGGTTCTGCGTTATAGTAATAAAGTTGTGGCTTGTTTCAAATTGTGAATCATTATTCATGCTGAAACATGTACTTCACTAATGACCTTTCAAAGGAAGAACAATCCACAGGTTATTTTTAGGGATTGTTACTATCTTCTGCATTTCATAGAAAAGTAACCAGTTATTTTGGTAACAAAGTTACAAATAAATTTTAAAGTTTATTTTAAGAAATATGACCAGAGTACCATTTTAATCAACCTTTTTGGTTTTGTTATTTCTTTCTTTTACTGTCTCATATGATATTTGTTCTTCTTCCCATGCTTGTTGTGGCATTCCTCTCTTACCTGTATATTTCATCATCTCATTAAAAGTAACCTGTATTAAAAATTAATGAAGTCAGAGTGTACTGACTTCTTAAGTTTTATTTAAAAACATCTTCCTACATATTGTTTTATCCAAAATAGTTATGAGCTGTAAAGAGATTTTTTTCTTTTTCTTCTTGCAGACTGCAAATGATAACCTGCATACAGAAGATGAGCCTGAACTCAGAAGAGATAAAGAAAGCTATCTCTGTGCCGTATGCCTGGATGTTTATTTCAATCCTTACATGTGCTATCCATGTCACCACATCTTTTGTGAACCTTGTTTAAGGATGCTTGCCAAAGACAATCCAGCCAGCACTCCATGTCCACTATGTCGTACTACAATAGCCAGAGTCTTTTTCCAAGCAGGTATAAAAATTAAAGTTTCTACAATATAGACAAATTTTTCTTGCTTTTCATTCCTGTATTTCTGGTCTGAATAAATATGTAGTTAAAAGTATAGTAAATCCATGCTGACCAAATACAGTCATAAAATTAGTTTCTTGTCCAAAGAAATAATAATGTACAAGTACATCCAAAATCCATTGAGATTAAACTTTAGTCTTGTTATCCATTGTGTGGAATTCTTTGCTAGGATTCTTTCTAGGACTGTGCCACACACGCTTTCTTAAGTTGTAAGAAACTATTCTGAGAATGTATTTTAAAACTTTTTGATATTTGAAGTGAGGTTCTGATATTTTGTATTTTTTTGGCTTTCTCTTGCTAAATAATTACAAATTCCAAGCATTATAAGCATAAATTTTCTCAAAATATCTCACTAGAACAGCATTTTTTAAATGGATAACTTAATTAGCAAAAAATAAACCTTTTGGGTTTGTGACTTTAATTCAGCTACAATTGAAAATAAGGTTGGCAGTATTATAGAATTCTGCTAACTAATCTTATTTTTAAATTCTCCTTTCCTGCCCTCTTTCACCCTCATCTCTAGTGTTCCTGACTTTAAGCAGTAGGAAAACATGGTCAGTAAGTGTTTTTTGATGTCATAAATTATATAGGAATAGGAGAGAGTGCCATAGGTATTTTACCTAGAATAGCATGAGTCAGTCTTTTATACCTGGAACTATAAAAAGTAAATTCATAAAATTTTTGAATTTATATTGATATCCATGTGAATAGAATTCCACTACAATCAAATTCCACTATGATATGACTGATGACTGGAGCTAGGCCCTTCACAGCACTTAAAACTGTGCATATACTGGTCACAAAATAATGGAAATAACTCAGCCATGCAGAAATGTTATTTTTGTGTGCTTCAGAGATCATGCAGCTCTTCTGTTTAAACTGAGCGAGTGCTGTGGTGATGACAGGTTGGGGATGTAGATTAAAGAGAGATTTTCTATTGATCTGCAGAGCTGCCCAGCTTGTATTTCTGGTTGTACACAGACTCCTCCACTGCACAGGCAAAATTTTATATAATCTGATGACAGATGAGTTTGAGGAACTGTCTGGACTAAAAAGGAAAAATAATAAAAAAAAAAAAGTTATTTGGATGGGAAGGAGGCATTTTTTTCAGATGAACTAGTTGCCACAAGATGGTTCACTGGGGAGTTGGTGGTGGCCATGGATAAGGACTGACTAAGCCAGCACTGCAGCAGAGAAGATGTGTAAAAAAAATGCCTAGCTGGTGTTTAGAAGTTTCGGCTTGATTTCATTTCATTTTCTTAATGTTTAATGCCCCTTTGGAACTGATTTAAAATGTGTTTCACCAATAGATAATTGTTTTTAGTTATTGAGGGCATTTTAAGTAAAGAAAAGCTATTTAACAGAGCTGCTGCAGTAAAATATTACTGGGAGAGTGTAAAGAGGGAAATGGACACCTGATAAAATGTATTTGTAAAACTTTAAACACCTTTGAAGTATTTTTGTTTAAGTGAAATATTTCAGGATTATTTATAGTTTTTGAGTTCTTAATGTACAATGTGTATAAATACCTGATAGGAGGGAGCAAAGCAAAGACCAATAGACTCTTCTCAGTAGTGCCCACCAACAGGACAGAAGGCAATGGACACAAACTTAAACACATAAAATTCCATCTGAATGCAAGAAAACACTTTTCCATTGTGAGGATGACCAAGCACTAGAACAGGTTGCTCAAAGAGTTTGTGGAAACTCCACCTGAAGAATCGAAACCCAACTGGACATACCTGGGCAACCTGCTCTAGCTGACCCTGCTTGAGCAGTTGGGTTGGTCTAGTTGACCTCAAGATATGACTTCCAATCTAACCCATTCTATCAAAATATTTAAAAGTTATTTAGTTTTATTGAGGAACTGGATTTATGCAGCTGAAGTGTAAATACAGTGTTATACAGAGAGAGTCTAATGTAAGTAGTAATAACGGTATGAGATGTGTTTAGGATTAACTATATACTAAGAAAAATATTTTGTAACTTCCCAATGCCTAACACTTCAGGCTGCTTTTAAGTCAACCAAGAAATATTGATGATCATAAAGTCATTGAGGTTATAAAAGACCTTCAAGATCATCTGGTCAAACCATCACCCTACTACCAATGTCACCCACTATGATGATAACATATCCTTAACTATATCCTGAAATTAATCCTTAATTTATCCTTAAATTAATAAAATCAACACATTAGGGAAAATGGATGATGATGGACCAATATAAGAAGTAATGAATTTTTTTTTTTAACTCAGGAAGCTTATTAATCCTTTTAAAAGTTATGCAAAAGTCACTGTTGTTATAGGTTTGGGTAGCTAAGGAAGCAGAATTGCTAGTATTCTATATTTATTTCTCTAATAGCTACAGCCTGGATGTCTCATTTCCCTCATTAATTTATTCTGTATGCTTTCTGCAATGTTCCTTTTGTATAATTGCATTTTATTTTACGAGGATATCTCAAAAACAAAACATTTAGGAAGATAACCTTTTAGTTTGTGCTATTTTGCAAACTGACTGAATCTAACTACAATAGAAGGATGCACATAACATCTGAAAAATGATGAAGGAAAACAGATCAACTATCCACAAAGGATGTGTCAAAACATGATCCACAAGGATACTTATCCTGTCCTATTGCCCATATCAAGTGAGCCTTTTCTATTGGTTACCTTGAGAGTGAACTTCCAATCCTTCCTGAAGACTCTTGAAAGCGCTTCTCCCATCTGTCTTTTCTTCAGGAAAGAAAGTGAAAAAAAAATAAATAATCAATGCCTCAGTAGAGTATTCAACGTTTAAATTTGAACAATAAAGCTGAAAAGAGCTGAGTCAATTTTTAGGCCTGTAGAAGGAAACTAAAACTAAAACACCCTTTGTTGATGCTGTCAGAGGCAAGAGGCTATTTTCTAAATACAAATAGTACTTAATCAAAATATGTTCAGTAGCATATGAAGTTCTTCTATAAAACTTAAAAAACATGAGTGAAAATTACAAAATTTGTTCCCTTTACATTTAGGAGAAAAAACAGCTGTTTCCATTCACTGACAGAGGGTTATTGGTGTAATAGTGTTGTTCTCACATGAGACAAAAGGATTTGTGGGGTTTGACTACTTCCACCTGGATTCTGACATAGTGAAATACCAAAAAGCACCCAATAGTTTTTTAGAATGAAGCCAGAATATTATTTTTTTTACTTCAAAACTGCTAACATCTTCCTGTTACACAGAGAAAGAAACTGCAGCTAAAGAGCATTTGCTTTTTTTTTTCTTATTGGAGCCTGTTTCTATAAAGTGACTTTTCTCTAATTTGTTGGAGAAAAAGATTTGTCCCTTTCATAAAATCCAGATCATTGAAAAAGTATGTAAAATTGCAATGAAACAAGTAAAGTAACAATACATAAGTCTATTCAAAGGTCTGTGAAGAGTCTTTTCTTCCTTTTAAAGTATACAAGAAATTGCAGTAGCTGCTGACACTATTAGTATTTATCTGGAGTCATGACAATTAGAAGGAAGAATCTTTGTTAAGCAAGCATAACTGGGGGTTTTGAAGTTTCCCATGCTAACTGCTAACTCGGCTACTCTGCCTGTTACCATCAAATCAATTCTTTTCAGTGGTAGGAATATATGGTCACTTTTAAGCTGTGTTTGCCATTGTATTGCTATGGACAGGTTAATTTTCCCAGTTTTGAGTAGCTCTCCATGCAAATATAATCCGAATTATAATCCAAATTATATCCAGAGGAGCTAATGAGTTCTTGCAATTTGTAGGTTATTGCCAACTCCTGCAATCTATCATTCATCATTCTATGAACGCATTCTTAAAGCCAGTTAATTCACAGTATAAAAAAATACTCCAAAATAATTGTCAGACTTTTTCCCTCTCTATTGAGTGACAATGTTAAAACAAAAAACAACATGAACTGAGAATTAATTCCACAGTCAGACTGATAGATGTTATTTCATTCATAGAGGTCATCATAGGCTTGTAAATTAAATAGCCTGATTTATAACATACTTCATTTTGTTAGCATTTGACATCATGTTTTCTAAGTGCTTTAGTTCTGAGGAATAAAATCAAAAGAGCATGTTCAAGACTTGTTCTTGCTATATCTGGAAAAGATTATTTTCATGTGATTTTAAAAATCTTTAAGAGGTGTTCTAATCAGAAAATGTGTTGTATAGTAGATAAGGCACTATATTTTATAGTATAGCCATATGCAAATTATATGCAAATATTCCTTCCTGTTAATTATTGTAGAACTGAACAACTCTACCAAGTCTTTTTTCCCTACGGAATATTTGAAGTTACAAGAAAGTTTTCAAAAATCAAATTCTGCAAAATGGCCTCTACCAAGCTGCAAGAAAGCTTTCAGAGTATTTGAAGGTAAGAAAATCACTTCTGTATATTTTGGACAAGAATAATTTTCAGACTTGATTACCTGTATTTATTGAAATTTTTCCTAAACTTTATTCCATCTTGAGTAGTCAAGAACACTAGCCTCTAGCTAGTCCATGTCATAGGATATCAGAGACAGATGATTATTGGAGTAAAAGAGAGTAAAATTCTCCTTGTATGATTCATACACAGTGCTCTGAATCTAAACATAAACTGCAAAATGTAAAAAGGCAGTTTATGTGTATACCTTTTTATTTATACTTAAATCTTTAATTTTGTGTACATTATCAGGATAATTCTATGTCATTTGCTGTTTAGAAATAAATAAATAAATAAATAAATAAAAATAAAATATGTGTCTGAAAAGCTGAAGAAAGAAAATGACCAGATAAAAAGTTCCCAATTCTGAATCTTGTCAATAAAGACTGCTCCCCAAAAAAATCAGAATCAGCTTTTTATGGATCAAGTCATATTAAAGTTGGAAAAATATTATATATATTATTCTGCATTGTTTGCTTTATACATGTGAAATGCAATAAAGGTGTGGTTTTTTTAGCTTTCTTTTATTTTCTGTTTATTATAAGAAGGAAGCTTAGTCCTCTTCTTAATAGTTTATGACTTAAGTGTTTCTATGGCTATTCACTGCTGATTAACTGAAACACATTTAAGTTAGAGCACAGAAAGGTAGGATTCACTTTTTACTCAGGTTTCACTGTTTTCAATCTAATGGCCTTCTTTCACTAAGCCCCCTCTAAGTTTACTTACACAGCAGTTTTCTGTAGTCCTGCATCCTGATATCATGTATTTTTCCTGTTTATAAAATCAATATAATTTTTTTGTAAAAGTACATGGAAAAAAAATAAAACAGGACATTCTTTTTATATTCCTTTTATGAGCCTACTCAGGCCTTTCCGTGTGTCAAATTTGATATACCCTTCAGTTATAAAACTGTGTAATGCATGGTGATGATTTGATGCTGAAAATAATAAATACTCCTAGCTATCAAAAATTATCAGACTTGAGAAGTTTGAGGATTGGCAGATCATCTTTGATATTATTCAGAAATTGAAGTTTCTGGCAGGAAAAAAAAAAAAAAAAAAAAAAAGTGATTGCTCTCTCTAATGGCAGTTAAAATAGTTTGGATGCTCATGTTGAACTTACTGCTTTATTGCAGTATTCCATTATATATGTGACGTAGTTGATACATGTGCCATAACATCATATGAATTATGTCTTTCATATTTGTGAAAAGCTAGCATGTTGAGCTTTGTACAAAATAAAAATATATTAAAATAAAAGGAAAATCTGGGGAGGTCATACAGCTTAAATATGGTACTATCTGCATATAAACCATTTTGTGCCACAGAGGTAATTTAGAGTGCTTGGAATTAGGTGTCTCCAAAGGACAGCCTAGAAATCCCACACACTGAACAGGAACACAATTAGATCTAGTTAATAGGAAACCCAAATCATGTAGCTTTCTGAAACTTTATCTTTGCCTTCTTAAACACAATTGTCACAACCACATCTTTCCTCTGACTTTTTATTTGAATAAAATCACTGCAAGGTTTGTGTTAGTTCAGAAAGCAAGTGGATAGCTTTTTCTCGCTGGATAGCTTTTTTTGGTCTTGCATCTAAATTTTACTTGCCACCAACTAAAACTCCATATTTGGTATTCTTAGCTTCGCTTGTGATCCCTGCCTCAGGAGGCTTCTAGGGACTTTACAGCCTTAGAAGGCTGAGTATAGTGGGAGCAAAAGCCTGCTGAGACCATAATAGATGCCATTTTAACTGGAAACCCTAACATCACTGAGAGCAGTAGGGAAAAAGAGCTTACTTAGATTAATTTTTGCTTCATTAGGAAAGTGACAGTGTAATAAGACATGAGAGTTGAAGGCAAAAAATACTACATGGAAAGAAAAGAGCTGAAAGGGTAGGTGACATGAGTGGAGTGAGTGGAGAGAAAAGAACATGATTACAGCGTTCAGAAAGAGATGAAAATACGTACTTTTCAAATGTGAGGATAACTGCTTCTTTATAATATGCTTTTTCATTGTTTAAAAATAAATAAATAAATAAAATTGACCCTATCAGAAATGCATATCCACTTTTATCTGGTTCATATCCAGCAGATGTTGTGGTCACTAAGAGTCTGACAGCTATTTTCAAAATTCATATCATTCAAGTTTTCCACATGACAAAACCATTTCCAGAATATTTTTTTAACATTCTGTACATTAAAATGGCAGATATTGAACATGCAAACCACTCATTAGAGGTGTGAGACCTGATAAAATTAGAACTCAGAATTAGATTGGATGCAAGCAGAGAAGGATGGTTGTTGAAAAGCTTAGATTATACAAAAGATTTGTCAGACTTTCTGAATATAGTAGGACTGCTAAATAACATCAAGCACCTTCTCTTTTTCCTTATTTTTTTTCCAAACTGATTCTCCAAGACACATTTTCTAATCAATACCTGAGTCTTCTCTCTTACGAAAATTGCCACAAGGAATGTAATATTTTTTTCTAATTAAAAAGTAAATAAAAATACAGAGCTTCTGAGTTTGTATAAAGAAAATAAGAAACCACAGCACAGTAGCTCTTCTTTGCTTTCAGTTGATGAAAATTAATTCCAAAAAGTTTATCCTTTTTTTTTTTTCTTTTCCCTGGTTAAAATCAGTAGCACAATGCCCATTTTCTTCATAAATGTTATACATGTATTGCCATTGCTTTTCATTGCTCTGTTTGGTCAAGGATACATTAAAGATAAAACAGACATGCTACTCAAGAATGAAAGCCAATCATCTTTTCCTTTCAGATACTTAATATATATGACAGTTAACAAGTTGATTTAAAGTCTGCCTGTAAAATGTCTTTTCTTTTTTATGAAATAAACAAAGATATTATATTATCTATTACTTCAGATGTTGTCAACATTAAAAATGCAATCGCACAATAAAAATAACATCTGAAAATAATAGTTTCCTTAAATAGTTTTTAAAATACATGGTGTATTTTGGATAGGATAGTTAGATAGCAAACATGCCTCACTGGAGTTTGTTTTCTAACACTTAGGGTTTAATAACATCATGAGTTCAGCCTTTGGCAGGCAATGCCAAACTGGAGTTTCACTCTATAAACTAAACTTAGTAAATCTCCAAAAGCAATTTGATTCCAGAAGTGTGAATTAAAAAATCAGTGAAAAAGTTCATTTAAATTGAGGATATGATAATACGACATAGAGAATTTGCTGTAGCCAAGAGCTGGAATATCAAAATCAGACTGAGACAGTGCATGGGGCCTAAAAGGGTTATTTCAAAAGCTCTGGCATAGAACTGAGATAGAAATACATTAGTGAAACCAGAGAAATAGGATATAATCAAGCAGTGGTGTTAAAGCTGTAAAATGGTGAAAGCTGCCTGCTTAGAGAAAGACATATTTGATAAGATGAACACACATAGTGTTCAGAATGATAGATGGAAATTACAAAACCAATGAAGTTGCAGCCCTTGATTACTATTTCAAGATACAGGTTTTGCCAAGGTAATAGGAAATTCCTTCTAAGTGCTCTTGTGATAAGATTTTTATTTAAAATATAATCATTAAATTGGAAAGCCAATTTAGAATTTTTTTTTGAATGCTTAATCTAGAAAATATTACCCCAGTGTTGCATACAGTGAAATCTGTGCTATCTCCTTACTAGTCTCATCTGTTCAGTAACATAATAAAAGCTATTGGCTTCTGCATCAAGCAGGAGTTGCAAGACACAACAGCGTCTTCAGCTCCTACTGATACCAATGGAAATTCCTATTGTGACAGCAGGTCACATCTACCATGTCCTTTTACATAATCATACTCTAAAGAAAAGAGCACTCAATTTCCTATGTAGTTTACAAAAAAAAGAAATATTGTGAAATATTTTAATAATACCTATTGGTAGATTTTTTTTATCTCTATCTTTAAAACTGTGCACTGGAGTACAACACTTTAAAAGCTACTTTCTTGATTCAAAGTTCTTACTGTGATTTCAGTTACACGCTAAACAGTTGTAAAAATATACTTCCATCAAATTATATTAGCTAGGTTTTAAATTCATCAAATTTCTCTGTTTAAAGTGAAGAAGAAAAAATTGATGCTGTTTTTCAAGTTACTGATTCTGTGATATCTACAGAGAATAGAAACAAAATAGATGTTATTGAAAATAGAAGGTGCAGCATTTATTTTAGCCAGAAATAATAATGTTGGGGTGTAAGTGTCGTAGAATAATAATTATATTACCATTCAGACTTTCATAAATTATTTGCCTTTGCTGCTGAAGTACAGAAAGGAAAGGACAGGACAAGACAGGAAAGTATATTCAGTTTTTAAGCAATGATCACACATCCATTCTCATTTTGATGGCTTTCAACATGCTAACATTCTAGAATTCAGTAGTCTCTGTAGAGTTATTCTGGTCTGATAGCACAGCTTATACAATCCTTTGTTCCTCTTAACCGTAGAAGCTCTTTTTCCTCCAGTCCTACTACTGTGTCCTTCCTTAATGTCCTGTTTTCTTTCTGTTAATTTCCTTCCTTCCTCATTTCTTGAACTTGTTTGTTCCTTTGTCATACTACTCAAGACTGCAGCTGTGGGATCATGCAGTGCTTCCTGACCAGAATGCTTGCCTTTTTTAGCCAGGATCCATCAGATTCTTTAGTATAACTTGTGGAATCACAGAAGGCCAATTTGCATACATGCATTTCTCACCAGATGAATTTACAATGTACAGTCTTCACAGCAAGTGAATTTTCTGTCTTAAGGAGACACATGTTACTGGGAAGTGTTGTTGAGCCTCTGCTATGCCTAGAGTATACCAAGACAGAAAACACGGGATCCAAGCATTGCTGATTGAGAGTGTGTTAGTGTACTAAAGAGAATCAAACTCTAAGTCACCTATATTTGTCATCAGAGTTGCCTTTTTACCTATAAAAAAGTTGCTTTTTTACC